GCGGTGACCCCAGACCGTGCCACTGCGCTCCAGCCCGCCTGCGGTGACCCCAGACCGTGCCACTGCGCTCCAGCCCGCCTGCGGTGACCCCAGACTGTGCCACTGCACTCCAGCCTATCTCAAAAATAAATCAATCCTAAATCCAGGAGGTTTTTATTTTCTTTTTAAATCAGACATTTAATTTTATTTGTAAAGATATTAAAAGCATATATTTGGAAAGAAGCCCACCCATCCACATTTTACTACCACTCTAAAATACAGAGAAGGCTTTTCCAAACATCCAGTTCTCTAGTGAGCAAGCAAGGGACCCAATACAAACATGAAACACAATGGAAGTCTATGACAGGGTGCCGCTTTAGTGGCGTGGAATGGGGCTTTGCGCCAGGGTTTATATGTGGAGTGTCAAACGTACAATCAATCTGAAGCCCAAAACATGGGCTCAAGTCATGGCTGGTTTGAGAGCAACATGAAGAGAAGCGCAGTGCTCTTCAGAAAGCGGGTGACACACCCAGGTTTCACCCAGCCGCAGGCTTCAGCTCTGCAGCCCCTTAGCTGGAGCTCAAGGCTCCTACCCCATCAAATGTACTCAGGGTGTGACCTCACAGTGACAGATCAGCAAGAGCACATGGAGGACAGGCGGGCCCACCCTGGGGCCAGGCTGCAAAGCCAGCGGCCATGATTCCCCAGTGCTGCCCAGCCCACGGGCACCACAGGCCAATGGGATCCACCCAGCAGGGGCCACCGGGGGCGTGGCACCCTCTCCTATCCACCTGCCCAGCTGCAGGGAGCCTGGCCGGGTGATGCTTGGAACCACTTCGCTGCTATGGACACGCAAATCTGAGCTGTCTCTCCAACAGTACTAAAATACACATGTACACATCTGTGTACGTAAATGCTTACGATCTGACTGCTTTTATTTCTATAAAACAGACTCCTCAACGTGTTCAAAGAAGGACACATTCTTAACTTGGAAGGACGCCTTGCAAGTAGCAGGTGCAAGGAGCCCCCATGCCCTTTCCCACACCCCACCGCCTCAGAACCCCTCCCGCACCTCGAGGCCTAGGCCCCCCTTCCATGACCCTCCCCCAACCTCAGACCCCCTCCCACGCCTCGCAGCCTCAGACTCCCTCCCACGCCCCGCGGCCTCGGACCCCTTCCCACGCCTCGTGGCCTCGGACTCCCTCCCACGCCTCACCGCCTCAGAACCCCTCCCATGCCTCACAGCCTCAGACTCCCTCCCACGCCCCGCGACTCCTTCCCACCGATGGCACAGGCGCCTGCACATCATGTCCACCCCACATCTTCCCAGCAGGCTGAGCATCTATTCGTGTATTTACGGCCGCTTGGTTTCCTCTTCTGTGGACTGCCTGCATACTCTTTGCCCATTTCTTCTACTGGATTCTCAGATTTTTAAAATCAATTCGTCGCCATTCTTTATATATTAGATATCAACATTTGGCACAAAGATTTTCCCTTGGACTCTGATTACAGCACTCCGGGCCATACGAAATATCTCACTAGTGCTCCCTGTGCGTTTAGCTGCCTCACCCCAGAGCCTGTAGGTGCACAGAACAGCAGCCCGCTGCATTGCCGAGGGTCTGCCCCGCACACGGCCCCGCGGGCAGGGCCTCGGCCCGGCCCCTCCCTGCTTGGAGCAGGCCATCAGTACTCGCTGACTGAACTGGTCTATCAGGATGGACGAGTTTCTAGAAAACTGACGGCCTCACAGGACGCAGAGGCGCACAGGGTGGCAACAGCGACCTCTCCTCTGCCCCGCCCCCTGGAGCCACAGCCCTCCCTCCAAAGTCCGTGGTTCTGTGTACATTCTTCCAGACCATATGAGTTTTTGCACACTGTCCTACAACTTACATTGTTTTAACTTGCAATGATTTTCTTCGAGACATCTTCAGCCAGTGGATATGACCACTGACTCATCCTTTTGGTCAGTCACAGAGATAGGCCGTGGTCTGGGTGTGGCGATTTAGCCATCTGGTGACACGTTTCCCACATTTTTGCTATAATTCAGCTCTGAAAGCATTCTTAGTAACGTCTAATTGTGCAAGCATTTTTATTCCTGGAAGTGGCAAAATATGTATTTTTAAATTTTTACACATACTGGGAAAATTAGGGAAAAGGTGACAGCAGAAATGAAGGCTGAGTGCCCTGCAGGGCTAGGAACTGAAAAGCGTGAGACATGGAGTCACGGTTTCATCCACGTACTGGACACCATGAATCCCTAACTCTGAGCCTTGTTCTGAGGTAACCTAAGACGTCAACATCACAGAAGCTGGGGAGGGGGTAGAGGGAACCACTATTTTTGCAACTTTCCTGTAAATCTAAAACTAGTTCAATACAAAGTTAAAAAAAGGAAGCACACACTCCAGAACTGTCCAAGCAGTCCACGCCTGCAGGCCAGCGTGGCCACTCTCTGCTGTGCGATAAAGCCCTCAGGGTCCCTACCCCAGCGAAGGGGGCTGCAGACGCAAGCCCTGGCTTTTCAGAATAACACACAGGAAGCATTTCTTAAAGAACTGAAGAAACACGTGTGACCAAATTCAAAGGCACATTTGCCTGACTGCTCACAGGACAGAAAAGCCAGCCAGGCGCATTCTGGAGGGAGGAGCTGCCAGCTCCCACCACCCTGTGCCCGCCACCCTGTGCCCATCACCCTGTGCCCGCCACCCTGTGACCACCCTGTGCCCGCCGCCGTGCCCACCTCCCTGTGCCCACCGCCCTGTGCCCATTGCCCTGTGCCCACCATCCTGTGTCCATCGCCCTGTGCCCAACCTGTGCCCGCCGCCCTGTGCCCACCACCCTGTGCCCGCCGCCCTGTGCTCGCTGCCCTGTTCCCGGGTGGACTAAGACTCTCACATAGTCTGGGGAAAATAGGAAGAGGGGACTGCACTCAGGGCATCTTGTGCCCCATGGCTTAAGAGAGCTGGCAGTCTCGGCTTCCAGGGGAACGGCCTGCCCTGAGGTCCACAGACCAAGGGTGAGGAACCCAGAAAGACCTCTGTAGGGCCCAGAGGCGAGCCCTCAAGGCTGGGGCAGGAAGCTGTGCCCTCCGGCTGGACGGTGGGCAACAGTTCTGGATGCCACACTCCAACCCAGCCCCACCAGCCAGCAGCCTGGCACAGGTGTCGGCTCATCCTCGGTGGACAGGGATGCATGTGAGCACCACCCGCCCCAGGACCGGACGAGGGCCTCACTGCACCCGCGTGCGCGTAGTGCGCGTACCGTGCTCCTCCGCGGAGGCAGGGGTCTGCTGAGCTCCTCCTTTCTCCTCCTCGTCCTCTGGGCTCGCTCTCTCCACTCCTGCAGTGCCCTTCTCTCTCTGGAGAAAGGGAAAGTTAATGCCGTAAGTTACAAGCAGGTTCAAACCAAGGCTATGTGATTTCCGTCACTTTACAGCTTGTGGTGCACCTGTCTCCCGGGGGACAGGTTGGGGGTGGGCACGCCCTCTGGGTGGGAGTCCGAACCACAGCCTCTTCCTCTCCACACGTCTGGGCAGAGCCAGGAATGCTGGCTTCCATCCCGAGGCTCCGTGTGTTGGTGCCGCAGGCAGTGTCTGACACTGAGGCCCAGCCCCACCCTGTGACCCAGGAAAAGGCATCAGGACCCCTTCCAGGGAAGGGCACTGGCTGGGGCTGCCATTGCAGGTGCTGCACGAAGGGCGGGGCTGCCTGGCTGTGGGTCTGTCCCTAAGTCCCTTCCTTCAGATACTTGAATTTCACTTTGAACAACGGCATCTTCGGGCTCCCCAGTCCCGAGCCAGTCACATGTTCCCTCCTCACAGCTCGTCCCGAGGGCTGTGAGCATCCCGAGTGACGCCCAAACCAGTGCCAGGCTGGGCTCCTCGTGTGTGGCTGAGGCGGGATGAGGTCCCCAAGAGCCCTTGCTCAGGCCCAGGCTCCACCCCGGGAGGCTACATCTCTAGCATGCAGCCACCTGTCTCCTGAGCCAACCCCGCAGTTGTCCATGGACTCCTGCAGCTGGTACCCCTCACCATTCTCCCCCCAGATCTGGCCTCCTCTCGTCTCTCCCATCATCATCCTGGACGCCTGCGCCCGGCTCCGCTCTCCTTCCTTGCGGTCGCAGCAGCTCAGCTCTCCTGGGCTACACCCGGCCCACAGCCCACCTCTGACCACCTTCCTGCTGAGGGCTCCATCCCTAGTCAGTGCTGCCTGGGATCAGAGCTTGGCCCAGTCCTCCCTCCAGTGCCACCTCAGGACACAGGTGGTCTCAGCAGCCGCCTCGGGTGAGGCTGTGTGCTGCCCTGCCTGGGTGGGTCCCAGGCTCCAGCCCCAGCCAGGCTGGTGCTCCCCGTGTCCCCCTCAGCACCCTCGGCACTGTGTGTGCGCTGGCCCTGTTGCACACTCCTGGCCGGGTCCTCCGCTTGGTGTCACCATCTCCTCGTCATGCCTTGGGAAGCAAAGGGGTGACGCTGTTCACAGGGTGATGGGAAGGGGGCCGCTGTGCTGGGTCTGGGCCCTCAGGACAGGCCTGCCACGTTGCTCACTGGGAGGCCACAGGACACGGCTCCGGGCTCCAGGCAGGAAGATAAAGAGAGGGTTCGCTTGCTCTTTGTATCCAAGAACTGCTCTTCCATGAAGGTGTGGGACGATGCCTGGGGCCCCAGCCTGGTGTTCAGGGGTTAAGAGTGCCCTTTCTGCTCACTGAAGCTGCTAGGGCCGAGAGCCTGGGGCAGGGGCTGTGTCTGCGGAAGGTCTCACCACACATCCCCTCCATCACAGCCGTGGCCAAGAGTGCGGGTGAGCGGAACTCACACAGGGAGACTCCGGGCAGGGCAGGTGATACCGGAAGAGTCAATGGGAGCAGGTGCCTGGATCGCCCACTTCAGAAAACCGTACCCTGAAATTGGCAGAGCCAAGGCAGGAGTGGGACCCACCTGCAGCAGGGAAGGGGGGTGTCTGCGGGCGGAGGGGGGCAGTGAGGGGAGGTGTCTGCTGGGGGGACACACAGTGAGGGGAGGTGTCGGGGGGGCAGGGTGCACAATGAGGGGAGGCATCTGCTGGGCGCACAGTGATAGGAAGGGGCTGCCGGCCAGGCGCGGTGG